GTCCTCGTCGTGCAGTGGTGGTGGTGAACGCCGGCGGGGCACCCCGCCTATGCCACACCCACCTTGGAGTCCCTCGCGCCCGTCCCGGTCGTTGGCGTCGCAGTTCGTCTGTTTACCCCCAACAATGGTTCAGAGAGCCAGTCGAATGTCCCCGGTCTGCGGACAGTCCACAATCTGACGAGTCATAGTATCGAACTGGCGGCCAAACCCCTCGTACTGGTGACTCAAGTTGTCGATGGCGGCATCATGCCTGTCGTTTGCAACATCGTTTCTTCGCGGCGACATCATTGATCGTGCCTAGTCACTTATACCAATTGATGTAGCGCAACGTACGATTGGGAAATAGAAAAAGAGATTTTGACTTCCACACCAATCATTTGTACCAAAAAATATCCGTCATTTTTATAATATCTCATTGGGATTTTGACTTCTAAACCAATAATTTATACTAAAAAAATCCGTCATGTTATTCTAAAATAATAAATCACATTATTGTTCATTTTTTTTTGTACTAAAAAAATCGAACACTCTTTATTATGCTAAAAATAATTGAACAGTGCATTTCACACAAAAATTATATGAAATGTCGCAACAAATAAATTTAATCGAGATCCACTAATTATACAAATAAAAAATTGACAAGAACAATTTCTATAAAAAAATCAGTACACAAACATTATATCAAAATATTCGTTCATTTTATTTGTTAGAGTTACACCGTAATTTCATTATGGTAATTTTATATAAAAAAATAAAAATAAAAATTGAAACTCACGCCTAAAAGTCAATATATTGGCATGCACATTACAGGAAAAAGTATACCATATATTGATTAATTTCCCCTTCAAATTTTCTACCTAAAAAAATAGCCATCAAATAACTCAAATAAATTTGCCTATTTTATATCATATATTAATTAATTTATTTGCGTAAATTTCCTCACTTTATACAATATATTGATTAATTTATTTCCCATGGAAACAACAATCAAATACCCAAGATAAGTTTTCCCACTCTACATCATACTGATAATTTATTTTCTATAGCAACAACCACCAAACCAAAAATAAATTCACCCACTTTCTACCATGTATTTGATTAATTTATTTTCTCGTAGAAACAACCATCAAATACCAAATATAAATTCGCCCACTTTATACCATATATGAATTAATATATTTTTAATAAAAACATCCAATAAATACCAAAAATAAATTTATTTACAGATATATTAAATAGATTTTTTTTATTCAAGACTCTGTTACTATTTTAAATATAATCAAACCTTTATAGAAATAAATATATATATATATATTGATTTGCGTAATAAGATAAAAAAAATATTTATTGTAGAATAAATATCTTAAAAAAATCAATAATTAATGTAAATTTGTAATTATGTAGTATTAGTAGTAACTATTATATAATAAAGTATTTTAAAATATTATTATAGATAACTAAGGGAAAAATATAATCATTTTCTTCCATATTAATTGAAAAAAATGAGCAGAAAAATTTATGCTATGCATTAATTAGATAGTATGCAATTATATATATAGAAGAATCTTTAAAAACATTTAGTACCAACGTGCATCACACGTGCTCTTTACTAGTACTAGAAAAATGTCAAGTCATTCAAAGATAAATGAACGTATATTCACAAAATAACAAACTGAACATAACTAATAAAACTTTAACTTCACTATATGCAGCAAATACATCAGATAACTACAAGGAAAGCAGGACGACATGAGACTTGTGACACCCAATTAATCAATAAATAACTACAAGAAACCTTCAACAAAAATTTTTGCTGCTGATACCAGGTGGACAATATATGCACAAATTTGGTCACTTCATCACATGGAAATACAAACATAAGTTGGCATGATCAAAGAGTTCAACAATTGCAGCCAATATAAGCAGAAGTTAATGATTCAAGTTTGGTTATATCAAGAAAATAATATCCACATAGGGGAGAGTCATGTGCTACATGTATTCCAGTAGGGCATATAAACTATAACACAAGTCACAAACACCACGTCCATCATAGGCATAAACTGTAACACAATTCACAAATTGTATCAAAAGCTGATAAATACCCACCAAAGAAGCTAGTTAGATAGGCTACGAAAACA